TGCATTAAAAAATCATATATTTTTTAAAAAGATAAATCTATTGAGAAGGTCATATCTGCAAAAGAAAAAGTAATCAGCTCCACTGAATTCATTATTTTGTATCAGGCTGTTTGCTGGGCTCAGTTTTACCTTATATAGTGTTCTTTCTTTGTTTCACATAACTACTTTAATTCTTTCTGGATGCATTCCAAGTTTCAACTTCTTTTCCTGCTTTTGCAGCTGATTTCACGTGACAATTTTTCATTGTTGCTGTGTCAAGAAAAAGATCTTCAGCTATTTAATTTATCTTGGCTTTGTTTCAAAATAGGTTTAACTTCTTATTAATTAGCTGATTATCTTTTACATTCATTTATGTCTTTCACATTTCCAAATCTCAGTATATCCCTTAGCATCACGCTTTTTTCTTTTTTATTTTTTTCTGACTACTTTTCCAACACCCTGATTGATTATGTGAATTTACATTCTCTATAGTACTGTACTCTCATGTGAATCTGTTAATTAGAATTCCTGCACAACTTCTTAGAAGTAGGAATTGTAGGTTTTATTTTTGAAGGTATGTAATTTGTTCTCTACAGCCTGGCTAATTCTGAAACCTTTTTTCCTTCAACTTGGAAAACAGGCTGTACTTAAGGTTAATTGATTAGAGTTTGCCAAATACTCCAGACTGCGAGTCCAGGATAGTCTTAAAATTAACAGCAAAAAAGGTACAAATATTTAAGACTCTAAATCTTGCAATTAACAGGTTTGCATCCAAGACACTTTGATATTCAGGATATTTTTTCATAAGTGGCAATTATTGGTTATTTTAGATGAAACCATATGTTATTTCCAAGACCTTGATAACTATATGTGATAATTATTTATAAGACATCATGAATAGAAATCCTGGTAAAATTACGTTCTGGCAACTGGATCCTGGCACAGCTCCATGGTAGATCAAGTATCTACGTATTTTCTGTTGCCAAATTTTACTCACTCCCAAATTTGTCTTAATCTTTATTTGCCTGTATATTCAAGCAGAGCAGGGAAGAAAGGGGATGCGTATCCTGCCCTTGAGGATCACATTAGAAATCAGGAAAAGACATGGAATTGCTTTTTAGTAAGCCCATTCATCACTGCAAAACTACCTTTCCACATTTACTGATTTCTTTTGGTTTAGTAAATGCTGTCTTATGTTCCATGGGACTCTTTTCTGTAAATTTTCTTTTCATAGTGTCCTTGCTCTCCATAATTTTTGTCCTCTGTCCTCAGAGACCATGATTTTTCTCAATCCTCTTAAGAAAGAGTGGAATGTTTCCAGTCTTTCATTCCTTTATTTGCTTGGAAAATAGCCATCTATGCCTATAGCTGCAAGCTCCATAATTCTGTTACTTCAGTGCTCATCCTAACACTCTCTTGCTGCCAATCCCAGTAAAACAAAGGTGAAAACAAAGTTCTTAATGGCTGGCTACAAGCTTATTGGAGCCAACTTGGACAGTTCTGCTTCACAGAACAACCAAGAGCTCCAATTATTTATGCTCTCTTAAAAAAAAATAAAAAAAAAAAAAACAAAAAACAACTAGAATTAACAAAGTGCTGAAACGCTGAAGCCACAGCCTCTCCCTAATACTGACCTGTCAGGTGAAGACTGATTTGTTAAAAACACCAGCAGTTCTGTGCAGAGAAGCAAGCTGCTGTGATGCTTGTCATCTCTATCAGCTAGAAGAGCACTTCAGCTGCTGGGAATTTACTTTGGCACAAACTCAGATCTAGCCCATCTTAGGAGCAAGAACATGTGCACATTGTTGCTTGCACCTCCACACCCTCAATGGATGGGGACTCCTTTGCCTATGTATATATGTATATATGTGTGTATTCCAATGCATCTTTCAGAGAAACAAGAAAACTTTTGTGCCTTTTTGTGTGTGTGAAAATTGACGTGCTTTCAACAACTCTTTAATTCTATCAAGTATTTAGGTAGTGTTGCTTCTCATTTTAGAACTTTGACATAAAAAAAAAAAAAAAAAAAGGGAAACTGCAGTACTGGATATCTAATCTTTCATATGACAGGCTCCATGAAGGCAAACTGCTCTATTTGATGGTTGCATTTAAGCCCCAGTTCTGCAAATCTCTTCAACATTTGCTTACCACTGAAACATGACTAGTCCTGCTGGTGTCAGTGCAGTAATAGCTTCTCAACTCTGCTTTTTATAAAGCCTTCTGTTCCTTTTAAAATGAGTGTTTTATATCAATGTGAAGCAGAAGTCATTTTACGATTTAAACTGCAACTAAATTACCCAATTATTGGTAACCAACAATCTTTCTTTAGGACGCAGTAGACTAAAATAGGCCAAAATGAGAACACCAAAACAGAAACAATAACTCAAAAATGTTTTCCCCCTTGTGTAATATAGGGTTATAAAATGCCTGTCATTGTTTCATTTTGACACATGGCTATGCAATCTAGGCATTCATTGCAATGGGTACCTTTGAGATGGATTATCTCTAGTCCTTTATCTATCCTTAACTAAACTTGCAATGAGAAATATAGCTAAGTCCTGTACCCTCAGACACCTGCCCTGCTGCAGGCTCTTTTTCAGCACAACAGCTTGAAATTCTGTTCTGCTCAGCATCATCCAAGTACAGATCAAGCTGTTCTTTCCAAGGCCTCCCATTGCTCTTGACATGGGCTGGAAATAATGGCCAGGTTTATTGCTGTGTTATTATTGCTCTAAGGTCAAGCTCCCAGCTCTTTCATCCATTCTCCTGCTCTCCCGTTCTTCCATTTGTTCATCTTGACCCAACTCACACTTGTGAACTACATTGCATTTGTTAGATCAAGAGGCTGCCTGCCTGTTGTGCCTCAGAACATTAAGCAGGGCAGTGGTCCTTTGGGTCCTTTCCTTGGGGAATGGATCATGGTCTGGAGAAATAAATGTTATTCTCTTCAGCCAAGAGTGAATGTGTGTGTTGTATCTGTTGAACTCATCTCTGGCACTGATTTAACAATTCTTTCTTCTTAATATGTACACACATACTCCCTCCCACTGCTGAGGTACAAAAGCTGAAATCAAACCATATAAAAAGGTCAAATTCACTTCATTCTGTCCTGCTTAGGTTACAGCTTTGGGCAGTGCCACCAGGTGAATCTTCAAGCTCTTTTTAAAATAGTATTTTGACATTTTCTCTACCTGGAAACATCATGATGAGAAAAATTTACTTTTTCAAGCTGCAACTACACTTCTCTAGTACTTTTTGGAATATTTCACAATTTAAATTGACCTATCAGATATAAGTCCATCTCATCACAAGAAATGCTGTAGCACACCCTACTCTGGATAAACATGATAATTTTCAAAGCAATCCAGTGATTTTAAACATATGGTATAAGTCTGTTTTTAAAATTCCCAGCAGGAGCTAAGGACAGGGTGTGTACACAGCCAAAGCAATAGGTGGCCCAGAGACAGGTATCTCCTTGGACTGTGAGTGATTGGGCAAGTGTCAGCATCAGGGACATTGCCAGGCACTTGACAGCTCTCCAGGGTTTCTGATGGCCTTTTCTTAAGAAAGTCAGACTCTCTGTGCAGTCTTTTGTAAGGAAGGCAAGAATGGTGCTATCTACAGGGCACAACTAGATGGCAAAACCAAGTAAATCTCTCTGTCTGCTCCAGCACATTAAGGAGAGAGGCTAGTGTGCTCAAGCCAGGGCCACAAGTCCTCAAGTCCTCTTGGTCACATCAGGATCTTTGTTTCACTGGACACTTTGAAAATAAAATTTTGTGAGGGTTACAAAGAATAAAAAAAATTAAACAAGTATGCTTCCTGCTGTGGTGTCAGCTCGAGATCTCCAAAGTGACCAGGAGCATAAGTGTTGCTTCCCACTAATGTCTCCTTAAAAAGCCTGCCAGACAATATTATGCAGTGGTGGTGCTGTCTGGCTTGAGGCATACGAATGCCTTGGACATGTTAAGATGAACAGACATTTTGTGTTTCTTGTGCCTGAGGCAGGATTAGCTGAGTTGATAACTGCCTGAACCTCAAGCCTGGCCCTTGGGGATGCCATTGGGACAGAATACCAGCATAACACCTATTTCTAGATGCAAACTCCGCTGATACCTTCTGTTTTCTGAAGGGAAGGATGGTTTCTACTGCTCTTGGGAAGGTTGGGAAAAAAGTGTTGCATTGCTGCTTGTGTCTTACTGAGAGCACTCACTGCTCAAAGCAGGGTGATATCACCTGAGGTGTCCACAACACAGAAAAACCTCAGTGCTAACAAATCCCAAGCACCCAAAAAAGACAAAGATAATGCAGCCCAAGTGCAAATAGCTTTTGAGATGGGTAGAAATCCGGAGGAGTAGCAGCAGCTATCTCCTTGCTTTTGGAGATCTCTAAAGAGGCTTCCTCCCTGCTGCAGCTGCTATTTTCCTGATATCCTCCCCTACTGCAGGCACAGTGCCTGAAAGGGAAGCAATCACTTTATGGTCCACTATGGGATTCCCCAGCACCATTTACTGTTGATGAGTTTGACTGTATAAAGATACTGAGGTCTTTAAATTATTGAAAGCCATATTGTGACGCTCATTGACAGAAGATCAGTGACAGAAGATCAGTGAATTTTTCAGCAATGAGTTGTGACCTCGGGTGGGGGGTAGGGAAATTTGTCTACTTTTATATTTCTGGTCTTTGTGCTTCCATTCCCCCAGCAGCCCCCATACAGGTGATCCCCTTACGCTGCGCTCCTTTGGGGATGGTCAGGGTCGATGCCTGTGTGGGGGGATATGAGCAGGTCCCCATGCCCTGGGTTATGATCACCCAGCAGTTCTCAGCCGCATCCGGCTTCCAACTCCCCCACTGCAGTGGCAAAGCCTGAATTATGCCCTGCATTCCCTGTCAGAGGTGGGCATACAAATGGGCCGAAATCTCAGAAAAGTGTTTTCCTGGGCAGGCAGAAGGGGAGGGTGGTGGCAGCAGAGTTTTCCCCCCTTGTACTGCTGACCCTTGTCCCTGTGTTTGCCTTGCAGGGACCTGCCACATCGGCTGGGCCTACTACTGCACGGGCGGGGGCGCGGCGGCCGCCATGCTGGTGTGCACCTGGCTCGCCTGCTTCTCGGGCAAGAAGCAGAAGCAATACCCCTACTGAGCCGGCCCCGGGCAAGGGCCCTGCCGGGCTCGCCCAGGTCTGCTGGACAGCGACCACGGACAAGGAATTTTCAAGTGCTTTCTCTCAGGAGCAGGACGGCGGGCAGCCCCAGGGTGGCGGGGAGGTGAAGGGTGGTGCAAAGCCACCCGGCCGGGCTGGGCAGGGACTGGCTCTCTCACCCGAGCCTGCTCAGGGTCTGCTCCACAAAAATATAAGCAAGGAAAACTCTGCTTTGGCAAATGGTGAAATTCTGCATGCACCAATTACAGGACAGGCTGGTGAGGGGTGGCAGCGCCCACATGCTGGGGTAGCGCCTGGCAGCCCCTCAGTGCAGCGCTCCCAAAAGCACACACGCACGCACAGATGTTGACCATGGCACAAAACAAGTAGGGGGGAAACTTTTTTTTGGTGCGATTCTTCTTTCTTTTCCTTTTTATTTTCTCTCTTTTTTTTTTTTTTTTTTTTTTTTTTTTTTTTCTTTTGGGGTTCTTCTCTCTGGTGGTTTAAGACTTGGTGTTGCAACACTTTTTAATCTATACATTAAAACTTAATAAAAAGGACCAATAAGCCACTTTATCAGTATTTTGTATAATCTCTACACATTTTTCTTCCCCAAACATTTATCCACTGCTTATTCAGCCCTATGTAACTTTTATTAAGACTCTGTGTTTTCAGCATTATTACAAAATGCAACATAATTACTTGGCATATGTACCCTTACTATAGTACTTTTTATGAAATGCAGTAAATGGACGTTTTCCTGTCCATTGGAAATTCCACTCACGGTACTATAGAGCTCTGTTGGTTACGTACAACTAACAGCAAACTTCTTCCAGACATAGATTTCTGTTGCTGTTATGTTTAGCTCATTGATGTTGTATTGTGCTGTACCATGTTTATTATTTCAATATTCATTTTTGTAAAATATATATATAATATGTGCTATTTTATGTTTGTATTTGAAAAATCTCTGTAAATAAATTTTTCCTTGATCAATGCTTGCAATGTATGGTTGTAAATGAAACAGTTCCTTCCCAAATTGCCACTGGAAAAATTCTCAGAAATACTCACAACTTCTATAACCATGCTCTATGCTTTTACCCTGTAAAACACAGACACATTTAAGGTTCAGTTACACTGCCTGAAGATAGACATCTACTGCCACTGGAGACATTCTGGCATATTCCACATTTTTTCCTGCTGCTGTCAGATGTCCTGAGGGATTTCAACAAGACCTTCCCCATTTTGTCCTGGCTGCTGCGGACTCAGAATTTCACACAAAACTGTATATCCCAGTTTAGCCAACTGAAATAAGCCTTTACTTCCTTAATGCCAATAACTCTGATTAAATACCTACCAGGCAGCATTCTCTGCACAGGACACTGGCACTGTACATAAAAAACTTTAAAAAACAATCTTTTATTTTCTTCATTTAAAGCAATGTGAACTTAATAAATTAAGCTCATAATCAATTTATTTACTCATAACTAAAATAATGTTATTCCCTTTCAAATTTGTTTTTCTGATCCTGTTTTCCCAGTATTGTATTTCTGTTGTGTATATTTAGGTTGCCATCTATGTTTCAGTTGCAATTCTGGTGGTTAATAACACTCAAGAGCTGAACAAATCTGGCATCATGCCTCTGCTTTGTACATTGCACTGGGCAGATTTTTGGAGGAATGTGGAAATAGCAATGTCAGCTTACAGTGATCAATCCTGATATCACTCAATGGAATTTTATCGATTTTTATTATAGGCTAATCACTGTTTATTTGCTTTATGGTGCTGTGCAGTGAAAACAAAATTGTACCTTAACGCTCCCAGATTAGCCCGTAATAGCTCCATCTCATCTGACTGCACTTCTGCTGAGGAGCACACCAGCCATGCTGTAGGGATTTGCCTCCCTGCATGGTCTTCCTGTAGCAGCAGCATGAAGCAGGAGCTCTTCCCTCTAGATTCCAGGTTTTAAGGCTCATCCCTTCTTATGAGCACTCAGGACCATACCCAAAGCTCCTGCAGGAGGTCAGCAGCACCCCATATATCCTCACAGTAAGAATGAAATGTACCTGCTAGAGTTGTGGATTGCTGCTTTATTAAAACTGAAGGAGATATAAACACAGCTTTGACTGTGGCTCCCCTGACTACAGTCAGATCTTTGGCAGGTGTATCTCAATCAAAACATGCTGCCTTTGTACACTGCGTTACTGTGGAAACATGCCTTTCCTTCCACTGAAAATGTGGTTGGCTATAAAAAGTTTCTGTGACCTGGCTATAAATATGTGCGTTACTATTCCACATTTGACTCTTGCAAGTATATAGTGGACTGTGCATCATGAAGAGCACTTTGACTTTTTTTAGATTCTTCCTGTGCTTGGGTTCAGGCTTGATTTATCGACAAACTGGAAATATACAATTACTTCATGAAGAAAACTAGGGCTTTGTTGCGATGCAATACCATTATAGCATGACTGAATTTGTATACAATCTCCTTTTAAAATTTGGGCTTGAATAAAATGTCAATTTTTAATAATCAAGCCAATGACATATGCTGCACCTGCCTTGAAGAGGTTTATCATATAGCCTTCAGCTGCTGTGGTATGAATAAAGCAATCACAGCCTAATTAGGTTTGTCCATATTTGTGCATTTTGGTTCTGATATCCATTTTGCACTAGAATATAAATGCCATTTATTATCATGGTTATCAAGCCTCACAGCTACAAACTCTAATAACTTCAAACTGGCAAGAGATTGTTTTCGATTTCACAGTCCGGAGTGTCAATGAAATATTTACAATATTTACCGTATTTAATTTCCCTTTTATGTATTCTTGAAGATGAGGAGCTTGGCCTTGCATTTGTCTAAACAAAAGAGGTAAGCCTGCACACAGTCCTAGATCACTGAATTTTTTCCTTGCCATTGCTGGCAATTGTATTCCATAATCCTGTTCATAAATTTATCAAGCTGTATTTTAGATCTGTTTAAGTAGTTTTCCCCCAACAAACATATTTGGAAATTTATTGCAAAATCTCATTCTTTGGTGATTATACACTTCCTGTGTTCCAGACCACCCAGAGGTCTTAGTCCACTTCAAAAAATACTCTGGGAGCTGCAAGTTTCATCTGCCACTCCCAGCTAATACAGGAGCTATATATATGTAGAAAAAAGTCCTGTAATTGCAGACTACTGTTCATTATCAGAAGCTGTTTTAGGACAACAGGATAATTCAGGTGGGAAACAACCTCAGAAGATCTGCGGTCCAACCTCCTACCAAAGGCAGGATCAGTCACAGGGCTGCAACAGGTTGCTTATGAGTTTATCTCACCCAATTTTGAAAACCTTCTAGGATGGAGATGCACATCATCTCTGAGCAGCCTGTGCTACTGCCTGACTCTCCCAAGAAGGAATGACTTTTCCTTATAATTGGTCACTTTTTTCAATTAATGATGACTGTCTCTCATCTTCCCACTGAGAATAACAGAGAAGAGCTCACCTCCATCTCCTGCCACCTCCCTATGGGTGCTGGGTGGCATCTCTTGGGTTATTGTGTGTCCCCACAGCCATCCTTTCACCAGGCTCAGTAAGTCCTGGCTGACATCACTGCAGGGTCCTGTTCCTTCACGTGTGCAAGGCTTGGCATTTGTCCTGGTTCAATTTCATAAGGTTCCTGTTGTGCCATTCCTGCAGATTGTCTCAGCCCTATGGCTGGCAGCCCTACACCTCAGTATATTGCCTGATCCCCCCAGCTTGGTGTCATCTGAAAACTTGGTGAGAGCACACTCCTTCACTGGTAAAGCTATTGGACAGGGCAGGTTCTAGAACAGACATGTAGAAACCCCACCCACTGCAGGCATCCAGGTCCAAACAGGAAACATGACCCTCTGAGCCTCTTCATCTAACCAGGCTTTAACCTCCCTATCCAGACCATATTATCCCAAATTTGGTGCAAAAAACCTGGGAGCCTCTATCAAAAACCCTGCTAAAATCCCTGCAAACATCCACTGCTCTTCCCTCAGTCACAAACCCAGTCATTACACTATGGTGAGTGAGAAGGGCTTGTTTGGAATAAATATAATCTGACTGGAAAGACACTTCATATATAAGCTGGAGTGGGGCAAGTGGAGGTGGAAGAACTTGATGCAACTTTATTTACATAAGTTTAGTCTTTGGGAATGACTGTGGGAGAACATTCCCCCACCCAAATCCCAGAGAGCTGGGGACTTTCCCTATGCATCTTAATGTGCACCGCCAAGACTCCAGTCCTGAGCACTAACACAGTATTTCCTGAGAGGAAAAATGCAAATTGTGTCGTTCAAGCTTTAAGTCAGTCATGTCTGCATAAATATGAGGCATGTGAAGGCCTGTCTGGAGTTTTAGAGAGCATTAAGCTATTTCTATCAAAAAGTCATTGCTTTTCAAGACTTACATATTAACAAACTAATTTTTACTGTGTGCCATAGACTTTGCTCTCTCCCCAAAACACAAATACATGCCTATGACAAAAATCCCCAGCCCTTAAAAATGTTTTGCAATTATAACTCCTGAGGCAATTTAACCCCTCTATTTCCTTTTTCTTGAGGGAAAATCCAGAAATCAGTTGTAACTGCAATTTATCTGTCATTCATCGAAATAGTCTGTGAAAAATATCAAACTGAATGACAAGACAGATAATCTGTACATCAACATGAGCATTAATTTTTCTCCACATACTTAACCTTTCAGAGAGACAATGGTGAAATTAGATATGTCTTTTTTTTAGAAGTGACATTTAAGTGTAATCCCTTAAGAAGACAGGATTTTAAATATATGCTTTTGAGTATTAAGTGTTTTTATTATTATTCTTGAAATAATGATGGATCAGAGAAAAAAAAGGAAAATTTTGAAACAGTTTCAAGCTCACTTGTCTTAGTGACAGAAGGATGGTTATTAGGCTAACATATAAATAGATGGCCTTTTTTTCATGTTCCTCACCAAGAAACAGAATGTTCATTGAAATGTAAATGGTTATTTTAGCTGAGTAAAGACAGGCTCTGACTCCTTCTGTGGACAATATTGAGACCTTTTATTCTGCTGGAAGTATCTCCTGTGAATGTCAGTATGTTGGGTATATATTCTATGTTATGCCAAGCATATTAAATTAAGTAAATGGAAAATGATAGGAATTCTGAAAGGAGCATATGGCACAGCTTCATTATATATATCTACATCGCTAGGGCCCAGCACATTGCTGCCTGATTTCCTGGCTGTCTAAGAGCAAATGAACTACAAGTAACTCTACTCTAAGCATCTTCCATCACACAGGGACATCTCATGACCCTCAAATAGCCCCTCAGCAGGTGCTGTGGCCTGTACTGACCATCACCAGATGCACAATCATCGGTAAACGTGCACCAAGGCTGATTGCCTCCCCAGTTTGCCTTGGAGGGGCAACGGCGAGGCAATGCTAGGGAACAGAAAAGCCATCTCACCCGAAGCCTAAGCCAAAGGCAGGTCTATGTTGACAGTCAGAAAGCTGCTCACACCTTGGGGGTGGGAGGAAAGTTTGCTGTCACTGTCGAATGGTCCTGTCTGCAGCAAGACTTGGCAGCGCAAGGAGAGAGTCTGTGAGCCTGTGGCCACTCAGGCAACTTTACAGACATTTTTATCACAGGACACACATGGAGGCCAGTGCCTGGGTTCCCAAGAGAACACATTAAGGACAAAGAGTGCTCCCATCTAGCTTGTCCCTCTCAGAGGCAGTCCCACTTGGGGCAGAGGGCAATGCCTGTGCACAGCTCCTGCAGCAGCTCTTGTGTGAGACCTCTACACCAGCCCCAGCTCCAGGACAGAAGCTAAGGTGTTTTGTGTGTTCCATGTGCATGTGCCAACAGCATGGAGCCCTGCTCTGCATACATGAATTTCTTCATCCCCTTTTCATTCTCCAGGAGCTATAGGTAGCTTTGGTTATCCTGATACCAGCCAGCAAAAACAATATTTAAGTACATTTAATAAAGAAATAC